TACGTCACGATGTAGATGAGATGCAAAGGCGCGAGCATGAGTTGCGCACGCGCGCGCACGTGGCTTGGGCTGAGCAACGAGAACGTGTTGAGGCGACAAGACAGGAATGTGGGGCTGCGCTGACTGACCTTCGCCAGGAGCTGCGTAGCCGCTTCGAGATGGCAGAGCGAAAGCAGTTCGATATTTTACGCGAGGATAGGTACCGACTCAAGTGTCTTAATCCAAATTTAGACTGAGCTTAGTCGTGTAACTCTCAGAGCTTCCGCAGGTCAGAACAGGAGCGAATGCAGGCCGAGGTCGGGGAAATTCGTGGCACTGTGGCTGCTCTGCGCGAGGAAGCGCTCCGAGCCGAACAAATAGCACACCGGCGCGCTACTGAGGCATTCAACAAAGTTTCCGAGGCTGCCGAAGACGCTAAGCGGACAGCATGGAATGCATCGCACGAGGTGCACGAGCGGGTCGAAGCTGCAATCAAGACTGTCGAGACACTCTCTCGAGAAGTTGAGCAAGTACAACGTGTTCAGGGGGGATTCAACCTGAGGATCGACGCAGAGCTCAGGGCTGGCCGCTTGGCGGTCGCACGCGCAACAGCCGCTGCGGGGCATGCAGACACAGTCTCATCCGAGCCTGATATTGAGGTTTTGTATTTTTGGAGTTCGTTCTATGGAATAATAGTCTACGCATGACACGAATGGCGGGTCTCGGGCGGAATACGAATAATATAGGTCGCCGGAACGGCAGAGCATGACGTCACAGCACGATTTCGGAATGAGCTTGCTGCACTTGAATATCGTGTTACCGCGGATGTCGCCGCAACACGGGCAACCCTTCGAGATGAGGCGCTGCGGCGTGAACAGTCTACGAGCGACCAGGAAGCATCGTGGCGGCGCAGTGCCGACGCCACTGAGGCGCGCTTGCGATCTTGCGAGGAGAAACTTGCTACTTGCATCGCGGTAACTAGAAGGCGGGACGTCCTCAAGATCAAGACTCCAACAACCAGTTCGGAACCAGAGACGGGGGAACTTGGTTTGCGAGCCACTGCCTTTGCGGAGCTAGAAGGAGCGCTCGAGCGCCGAGTCACACAAGGTCTCCAGGGGGTAGCATCGGGCATGGCGGCAGCCATCGAACGCCTCGCATCAAGTTTGAGCGAAGCACGTGCCGAGATTTCTCGCGAAGGCGACGCACGACGCACACTAGAAGCATCCGTAACTCATGCTGTTGAATCGGCGGTTCTTTGCGTCGCAAATGCGACGCGTGTTGAGATCGCCAAGCATACCGACGACGCATCGAGGCTCGAGGCTCAGATGCGTCGTGCTGATGCGCTCCATGGCGATCATGTCCAAGGTCGATGTGAACGTGTCGAAGAGGCATTGATATGTCGCGTGGCTGAGCGAGAGCGCGGACTACGCCTCGTGCGGACAGAGATTTCTCAGGCGACACATGTGCTGCTCGATGAACTTGCTCAAGAGCGCCATGCTCGCATTAGAGCAGCCGCAGTCGAAGCAGCCAACGCGAAACGTGCGCTCGCTGTATCGAGCCTAATGACTGACTCAAGACGACTGGCTGATAATGCTGAAACCCTTTCTACCATTAAGACCAGCATACATGAACTCGACCGTGCCTACCAGCTCCGTTTCGGTCAGGCCGCGAGCAGTGTTGACGCTCTCGCCGCAGTGACAAGCGCCCAGCTTAGCTGTGTAGA